ACTGAATTTTTTGTTAGGAAATACGGGATGATTACGCACAGCTGCACGCGGACTCCACACAGGTACTAGACAAGTTTGACAACTTTGGTTTACACTGCACCACCCAGAAAACCGGTTATGCTCCAAAAGTGAACGGAGCCATCGGGTACCTTGATCGGCAGTGGGTTCGTTGTCATCAAAATGAATTCCTGCAAGCTTTTGTATTGAAAATGGCGTCTTCTTACGGAGAGGATATGGTTAGATATGAATACCAGTGCTGTAGCCTTAGTATTTAAAAAGCATGTAGTGTGCTTGGGTGAATATTAAAATCAAACAAACTTTCAAAATACCAAGGAACAAAACGTAGTTCGCTCTATAACGATACTAAGTGCCATTACAGGGCACTTCAGCGTTTTGAGTCTTAATAAACATTACATTTACTTGTTCTTGTTTTTCTCTGCTTTCAGTTTCTTAATACAACCGGCCGCAATTAGCGTGAACGTCATCTTTAATTTTAGTTGACGGTTAGTTGACTTTTACAATGAATTTACGGTTCTGTGCGATTAGTTTGAAGTTAAAGTGACACTAAATGTACTAGCTATATGTCACAAGCTAACAGCTCTGAGCGCGTACTCTGCTGAGAGTGTAGTTATGACAGGATCACTAGATGGTATTCTTTTAGTTCCTGTTGTTGTTTTCAAACTCAGTATGACAGGAATACATGCACAGAGTCAGTAATCGAATCAGACTTCCTTTGAAAGGAAGACCACAAACACTTTATACATATACACAAATGTATAATTATATATCTAATATACATTCTCTCTTAGTTGATTATATTCACTGTGACAGAGTTGTTTTTTTCTTGTGAGTTTAAAGTCATATATAATCTATTTCATTCGTGAAGCTTTAGCTTTTTGAATGATTACGAGGGAACTAGAAATATAGTAACGGTAAAGTAGTTCTATAAAAATAGACGTAATAAAATTTTAGTTTGTAGTGGTCTTAAAAAAATAAAAATTATTTTACCTTTAAAAACTCACGCTCAGAGAAAAGTGTGAAACATGACGCTTGTCTTATTTGCTCTTTCCTCACGACCTGTACCCATTTTGGCATGGTTTCGGAATAAATTAAAAATAAGACTAAAATGCCCATGATAGATATACCCTTTGAGGGTATGAAATAATCGAGAAATGTTCATTCAAAATGACACTCCAGAAAATATGTAGCTGACAAAATGTCATAAGTCAAATCTAACTTTCCTTCTCCTCGGCTCCGTCATCCTCAACACTTGCGTTACTTGCCGAGTCAACTGGTGTCAAAGCTAATGAAGGAGTCTTTGGAATCAACTGTTTTCTCAGGAATTCAACCTCTTGACATAAAATCTTCCTTTCTTTATAGGATAATCGGAGATGACAAACCGATGTAACAGACCTTTGAAACATACTTCAAGGATCGTTGCTCTCTCAAATTTAAGGAATAATATCAATGATGTGGCAGCTGTTTGAGTAGTTTCTGCTTCACATACGCGTGCATAATACTACAACCTAAGTTACGGCCTAGACGAACAGGAAAAAATGCACTTTTTATGAGTGTCAATGTATTTAGTATGAAAGTACTAATTGTAGGCTCGATTTCCCTAACAGCGGCTGGTAATCGAGCCTATACTAACTGGGGACACTATCTAAGTCTCCTACTGGAGACGGGACCGCCATTTTACGTGGTCATCCGAGTCACGGGAAGGTCTAACCGCTTGCAGTGCAAAGGTAGTACCCTCATTTCTCAATTATTTCAAGACCCTGAGTGTTGTTCCGGCCTGCGACCTTCCGCTCTGCCAGTTCTCCCGTTAACCGCTCTACCGACTAAGCTAATCTTGCCGCAGTTAGAAACGTGCATGTTCACTATAGA